AGAAACAAACAAAAAAGCCCCAACCTCCAAACCCCACATTATTTTATGTAAGTCAAAAGGAGGCAAAAATATCAGTTTAAAGTTACATGATCCCAATCTAATTCAAACTAAAGTGATAAGCTATAGAACATATACATAAAAACATAAAATAGTCACCACCTATCATGCTCGCTACTTGGGAGTGGAAAATTGGTAAAGTCACAGTTCAAGGTCAGCTCGGGCAAAATGTTCTTGAGACTTTCTCAGTCAATGGCTGGGTAGAGCATATCAGTCATCCCAGTAGGAGGCTGAGATTGTGAGGATCTCAGTTCCAGGATAGGTTGAGCAAGAAATGTTTTCAAGACCCTGTCTCAACAGAAAAATCAAGACCTCATGGTCTGTGTCTGTCATTCCAGCTATTGTAGAAAGAGTAAATAAAAGGATCATGTTCAGAGTGCCCTGGGCAAAAAGTGACACCCCAATCACAAAAATAACTGGGCAAAAAGGGCTCATGTGATAGAGTCCCTGCCTATCAGGCACAAAAAAATGAGTTCAAAAAAATCCCCCAATATTAAATATATAATATGAAATTATAAATATCATCTTAGAGCACGGTAGCTACTTACTTTACAAATGTAGCTATGTACCATAAACAAAAATGTAGCATTTATTAACAAAAATAAAACCTTAACAAATACGCAAAGCAAAAATTCAGGCCAAAATCTGTGAACAGTACCATATATCTCAAAACAATGTTGTCAAACTTGTCAGAGATCTCTACTTAGCTTAGTAAAATAAATACAATGGACCTACAAGTTTGTTACACAACATCAACACAACAATGTCATTATCATCATTTCTAATCACTGTTGTCTTCGTCGTCGTCATCGTTGTCGTCATCATCATCATTATCATTATCATCATCATCATCATCATAGAGGACTAAACATGTGGTAGGCAAGTGCTCCACAATTGACATATACGTTTAGCTACAATTTTTTTTTTTTTGCAGTCCTGGGCTTGAATTCAAGGTCTAGGCACTGTCCCTGAGTTTTTTGTTTTTGTTTTGTTTTGTTTGTTTAAGGTTAGTACTCTACCACTTGAGGCATAGCTCCATTTCTAGCATATATTGGAAATAAGAGTCTCATGAACTTTCCTGCCAAAGCTGACTTTGAACCTCAGATCTCAGCCTCCTGAGTGGTTAGAATTATAGGCATGAGCCATTGGTGCCTGGCCTAGAATGGGATTGTTAAATGAGGCTATAACAAGCATATACCTACAAAATAACTACAAAAACTGGAATCTAGCACAGGTGTGATTCTCTTACTTACACAAGAATTAAGCTATATGTAGTTATAATACTATATGTAGTTATAATAGGATGCAAGTAGATTGCTTGAATACATAGCTATATATGACCTAAAATACCTTGCATATATGTTCTGTGAACATCATAAAGCTGAAGTTGCTTCATTTCAAGCTTAAGTTTGCTTTTCTTATTGAGCCTGGTTGCTTGCTTGAGAGCAAGCGGGTTCAAGCAGTAGGTCTGAGTGATATGTCTCGAGGAAGTTGCACTCATCTATTGTATCTAGTCTTTACTATGCTCTTCTTTGTCACTCTGTACTACTGCTTCTAAAATCTTCCTATTCTAGTATGCTATCCAGGTTGGTCTCAAATTATTTCTCTCCCTTTCACATTATACCTTAGCAAAAGTTTGTAGATCTGATGGATCATACTATTCATTCTTTACTCCTGATATGTCAACCTTACAAGGGTAATTTCCACTTAGGAAACTTGTAAACACAAGTGAATTTTTTTTTTTGTTGGTCGTGGGGCCTGAACTCTGGGCCCAGGCAATGTCCCTCAGCATTTCAGCTCAAGGCTAGTGCTCTACCACTTAAGCCACAGCACCACTTCCAGCTTTTTCTGCTTACTGAGGAATTGAACCCAGGGCCTCATGCATGCAAGGCAAGCACTCTACCACTGAGCCACCTTCCCAGCCCCAACACAAGTGAATTTTGATTTGCTATGTAAGGATAAGAAAAGCATAGGCAAGGGGAAAAACGCAGCCCACTTTTGTGGGTAAAGAGCAGCTATGCCCATTTATTTAAGTATCGTTTATGGATGATTCCAAGTCATGAAGCAGAGTTTTGATGTTGGGAAAGACCACATGGCTTGAAAAGTTTAAAATATTTACTCTGATCTATTCTATAGTTTGCTGATTCCTCATTTATGACTGTGGATGATTTTGCTTAATAGGCAGATGTGTAAGTCTGATGGTTGTCTTTTAGAAAGGACTTTTATCCCTTCACTTTTCCTAAAGGACTCTCCTTACTTCCTAGTCTGTATAGCTAAGATCAGATCCAGTCTGATCCATGTTCCTTTATAAGTACAGCCCCAAGATACATCACTGAGGACAAGAAGTAAGTATACTCTACTTGTTTAAAATCAACCTTAGCTCTCATTAAGAGTCTACCATATGATGTAAGGCTGATTCCAACATCCTTAAATGCTGTGTAGTATGGGGTAAATGGACCTGGGTGACTTTGTTTAGGGCTGGACATATATAAGACCTGTGAAATCATTTGGTACATGAGAGAACAGACAAATAATGTTTCTTGTTGGCTGCCATGGTCCATCTGCTTGTGTTGCTAATTTTGCATGGCCTTTAATAATGTTTAAATATACAAATGTCCCTTAGCAGAAAAGGGAACATGACTTTTAGGCATATCCTCATAAGATATCTGTCAAACTCTGCTCCTCCTTTATTTCACTTGACTTTCCCATTTTTTAGTCTTGTAGTTCTTGCCATCTTGCCAGATCAAATCCTCATTTGTTTACCTTAACTTTACCTTAGTAATTGAATGATGTCTAATGCAGGTGTCCACTTTGTCCCTCTCTTTGTCCCCCGCTCCCTCCTCCCCGCCGTAGGGTCTAGGGCTAGAACTCAGAGCCTGGGCATTGTCCTTAAGCTTTTCTGCTCAAGGCTAGTGTTACACTTTGAGCAATAGCTGTACTTCTGGTTTTCTGGTGGTTAACTGGAGAAAAGAGTCTCATGGACTTTCTGCTTGGGCTAGCTTTGGACTTCAATGCTCAAATCTTAGCCTCCTGAGTAGGTAGGATTATAGGCATGAGCCACTAGCACCCAGATGCTCTTATTGTATAGAAAACACACACTGTTTGGACTATAACATTGACAAAGTTTCCTTGCCTGGTCTATTCTTTATGTATCCTTGGCTAGGAGATTTCAAAAACTGTATCATTTTAATTCCTTTTTATTTTGGGGTGGGGGGTCCGGTCGTGGGGCGTGAACTCTAAGCCTGGGCGCTGTCCCTCAGCTCTTCAGCTCAAGGCTAGCACTCTACCACTTGAGCCACAGCACCATTTGCGGCTTTTTTCTTTTTGCTTATGTGGTGCTGAGGAATTGAACCCAGGGCCTCATGCATGCAAGGCAAGCGCTCTACCACTGCCCCTCTTCCCAGCCCTTCATCATTATAATTCTTAACCTTTCAAAGTTTGACATGATTATCTGTTCAACACTGGGGGAAAACTTAAAAGAAACACTGATAAATTGCCACCCTACTCTTACTATTCTGATACTAGCTTTATGATGCCATAGGAAGGTAACATTAATAGGATTACAAGAGTCTATTAGGAGGATAAAGACTGGATGGGGGTTTTCTATCATTCAGAGATATAAGGAAGCAAATATAAAGACTTCTATATTTATAAAGAGAATTTCAGGATAAAAGAAACACCTTGCTTTTAATGATAAATCAAAACAAATTACCACAGTATTATATAAATGTAGCTGTGAGTAGTTACTGAAATTGCAACAGGGTTGGGCACATGCCTAGCATATACAAGGCTTTGAGTTCAATATGGAAGGAAGGAGAGAGAAAGGGAACTTACAACAGCAATCTTAAATCAAGGAGTTGAAAAGGCAAGAGAAGGATTTAGTTAAGGTATCTACATACTGAGAAGTCCAGAGGGACAGGTACATAGCTGATTGTAAAACAAATTTATGGAATGCCATATTAGATGCCACAGGTGCTAGTTTTGAGTTCTCTATGCAACAGGGGCTTTTCAAGATAATGAATCAACTAGAAATCTCATCAGTAAGTTTTAGTTTACTTTAAAGAAACTTATCATTAATCTACAAATAGATTACCTTTGTTTGAATCATGTAAAGTGTTATTCAAATCCTGAATTGTTTACTCTTCAGGATGATTTTAGAATTCTAAGATTAACTCAGGCCAAATGGCTGGCATATTTCCAAAAATAAATAGGTTTTATACTAAAAAAAAAAACCTACCACATAGGCCTCGAGTATACTATTAAATTTTAAAAGTTCCAAATTTAAGATGGCCAATTACAATTCTCTTTATAAATATAGTCCTTGTCCCAATAGTAAGCTTAAAATAATCTCAGCAGATAATGAAGAAAACTTTTATAGTGAAGGAAGTCAGGAGACTAAACAGAAACTGATATGGGGCTTATTCAGAATTCTGACATATTAGGCTGTAATGGCAGAATTATTACCCGACCGATTTTATAAATATCTTATTCAAAGTGAAAGTTTTGGGGCTAGGAATAGAGTGTGGACCTATTATTATGCACATGGTCTTAGATGCAACCCTAAGAACAAAGACAAGTCTTTCATATCAAAGCTCATCACTCATAAGTCTTATAATCTAAACATTACTTACTACTACTGCATTTACTTACTACTAAGACACTTAACGAAGTATCATGGGGTACTGCAAACCAAGGCTTGTATGAGTTTTCTATTAAAGACAGTTATTTCTGGTCTGTTATAAATTAAACCAAAAGGTTGGTTTACAAACAGCAACAGTAATCTTGTGATTTACTATGCTTCCTTTAGTTTTTTTTTTTTTTTTGGCAACATATCAATAGGTTAGCAACTTTATGTTTTTGATGTAACATACTGAAAAATCCCAAAGGTCCACTGCAGATTTCTGGGTTGTCTGTAGAATATGATACAAGATTCTTTAACTCACCTCCAGATGCCTTTGACCTTTCTTTCAACTTTTCTGCAGCCATTTCACCATAGCTGGGAAGTTCTGACATCTTCACTCCAGATCGAGCTTCTGCTATTAGCTGACGAGCTCTCTCTCTCAGCTGCCGACGTCGCTCTTCATCTTGCTGCTAAGATATATTGAACAGTTGCCAACTCAGTAATTGACAGAAATGCAATTTCATTTTCAATCTGATCATCATGATAGTAACTGGTTTACAGCATGGTGCTTGCCCCACATTATAAATAGGATGCTCTATATCAGTTGGATGTCACACCATTTTAAAAAGGCATTCTAGAATCAGATTTTTTTAAACTGACAAATTATTATAGTAAAATGCCCATTAAAAATTCAAATTAAAATATTTGGCAATATATTATTGAGGAAAACTCAGGAATTGTTAATAAGAGAATCCAACTTTACAGAAGGAAGTCACAAGACAGACTTTAAATTAATATCTTGCTTTTTAAAGAATAGAGTATAACTATTTTCTAAGAAAGGCATTGAGCACTGCTATCTTTGATAGCAGCAAATAAATTGGACAAATATAAGAACGGTATTTTTCTATGGAGCAGGAGTAGGAATAGATCAGTACATAATTCTGATTTAAAGATGAGTAATAACAATAACCCAATAGTGATATAAAATTCTTTTTTGGCTATTCCTTCTGTTCCCAGATGAACAATGAAAAAAATAATGATAAAAGTCTAACATAGGTTTTGAATCTACTAAACTAGAATTAAGAGATACAAATAATCAATGCGAAATTATTTTGTAAGCTTGAAAGCAAATAAAATAATCAATATGACAAAACAAAGATTGCAATAATCTGGCTCTAATATATCTTTGTAGTGTTACCCCTTAAAATTTACCTCCTAACCTCACAAAACCTTTATTTATTCACAAAAGAATTGCATGTAGTATGTAGTTTCACGTATTTGTGGCTCTCAATGTTCTTTTCTTCTCCTTAACTCCTACTCACTCTTCAACACACACACACACACACACACACACACACACACACACACACTCTCGCGCATGCGCCAGTTCTGGGGCCTTGACCTCAGGGCACAGCCCTGGAGCTGTTTTTCTCAAGGCTAACACTCTACCACTTGAGTCACAGTTTGACTTCTGGTTTTTTGGTGGTTAATTGGAGATAAAAGTCTCACAGACTTTCCTAGCTTCAAACCTCAATGCTCAGATCTCAGCTCCCTGAGTAGCTAGGATTATAAGTATGAGCCACCAATGGCCAGCTTGTGGTGTAATACTTGTCAAGTTGAAACTCTGTAGATGTGTACATCTGAGTAGAATTGAGCTACTTTAAAGGTATGAGCTAATCTCATTTATCTTTGATTCTCTGGTCTTTAATACAAACCTTGGTAACATGCTAGATGCTACACAAATTTTAAGTATAGTACAGGGATATACTTCAGTGGTAAAGCACATATCTAACATGTGCAAGCCCTGAGTTCAATCTGTAGCACTGTCCTCTCCAACATGTTCTGTTGATTACATACTAAAGCTAGCCCAGAGGGATTAAATGCCACTGTCATTTTTAAGAGAGTAGCAAGTTTTGACTGCATTAGAGCATGTGGTCTTGAGGATGGAACCTAGGCCCTTGTGATTGCTAGATAACACTGTACCAAGCTCCACTTCAGCCCTTTTGAAGATAACATGTAGGATGGAATACTTTAGTGTGGCTGTCTTTGGAAAATATAGATTGCTGCAGCATAGTATGAATATACATTCCCCACCAGCTATTTACTAAGAACTTTAATAATAGTAGTCCTTGCTATAATTTGTAACTATTTTGAGGGGAGCATTAACTAGCTGTTTTTTGTCATTAACTGGGATATTACTCAGCTCCCACCAGAGACACAGGGTAAGTAATTGACTCTTTTCCTTTGATTACTAATTTTTAAGAGTTGTTTCAAAAGCTGTGTCACAGAAAGCATGTCAGTAGCTCTTCTTTTTTTTCCTTTTTTTTGGGTCCGGTCGTGGGGCCTGAACTCTGGGCCTGGGCACTGTCCCTCAGCTCTTCAGCTCAAGGCTAGCGCTCTACCACTTGAGCCATAGCGCCACTTCCGGCTTTTTTCTTTTTGCTTATGTGGTGCTGAGGAATTGAACCCAGGGCCTCAGGCATGCAAGGCAAGTGCTCTACCACTGAGCCACTTTCCCAGCCCCATCTCTTCTTTTTTTTTTTCAAGGGTACCTCTCTAAGTACTTTCATATATTCTTATAACTTCATCCATCAGCTCCATAGTCTTCATCTATTCTTACATCTTAGCATCAATTCACTTCTCAATTACCTACTAGCAACTGTATTCAAATGTACTACTACCTCTTCAAACCCAGTCTGTCTTATCCCAAGTTTTTCCCTTCCATTACAGTTCCTTTTAGTTTGCCTATTTCTATTAATAGTACTCTAGTTCTTACTTTAAAACTTGTCATCTTTTTTCTCCCTACCTATCTAATCTGTTACGAAGAACTAGGCGAATACCAATTCTACCTCAAATATGTTTCTTACATTTCTCTTTCTACTGCCATTGCCACTCACTCTTCCCCAATCTTATTTTCACTTTCTTGGATTCTTTATGTTTTATTAATTTAAACAGAATCATGTGTACATAGGAGATAGCTGGAATTGTATGATTGTTAGGTATCTGGTCTACCACATGAAGTGTATCTCCAGCCCTTCTATAGTGGTTTTTTTTTTTTTTGTTTTTTTTTTGGGTCTGGTCGTGGGGCCTGAACTCTGGGCCTGAGCACTGTCCCTCAGCTCTTCAGCTCAAGGCTAGCACTCTACCATTGAGCCACAGCGCCACTTCCAGCTTTTTTCTTTTTGTGTATGTGGTGCTGAGGAATTGAACCCAGGGTCTCAGGCATGCAAGGCAAACGCTCTACCACTGAGCCAACTTCCCAGCCTATAGTGGTTATTTTGAAATAGGGTCTTACTTCCTGTCCAGACTGGCCTGGATCACAGTCCTATTGTAGGTGGGAAGCTGTTTCTGGTGAAATGGGTTCTAATGAAGTTTTTCCCAGGCTGGCCTTGAACTAAGTGCTTTTCAATTATAGCCTTTCAAATAGCTAGAATTACAGGAGTGAGCCACTGGCATCAGGCTCTTTGGAGACTTATGTGGCTTCCTAAGTAGGCTCTTTCCAATTGCCCTATGCTTATCTATCTTAAGCACTGTTGTCACATTAGTCTTTCTTACATAAATTTTTGGTTAGTCATTCCCCTAAACTTAAGGACATACACAAAGAATAAGTCTTACATACACACACAGACACACACACACATGCACGCACATACTCACACACAGAGACATTCACACATGCATTTAACGATCCCTCCTGCTTTACTATAAAATTAAAATACTTCACCATGTTATGCAAGGTCTTTTAATGTCAACCTAGCTTTTATTTTCTTTCTACCATTACTTTTCCTCTTCTTAGACAAATTAGATTATGCTTTCTTGCCTTTATGTCTTTATATTGTTCCTATCTCTCAATCTCTTCCTGTACTACTTCTACTAACCAGGTCTAGTTAAAGTAACTCCCATCTCTACCCATCCCAAATCTTCCTCATTCTTCAGACCCAGTTTAAAAATTGTGGTGTCTTATCTGCCTCTTAACCAAAACTATTTTCTTCTGAACTCTTGGGACATTTTGATCAAGATCCTTATGGTTATAGGCTTTTTGAGATAAGTGTATTTTCAAGCTTGAATTTTGTTGGAGAGGGCAGTGCTACAGATTGAACTCAGGGCTTTGCACATGTTAGATATGTGCTTTACCACTGAAGTATATCCCTGTACTATACTTAAAATTTGTGTAGCGTCTAGCATGTTACCAAGGTTTGTATTAAAGACCAGAGAATCAAAGATAAATGAGATTAGCTCATACCTTTAAGTAGCTCAAATCTACTCAGATGTACACATCTACAGAGTTTTAACTTGACAAGTATTACACCACAAGCTGGTGGCTCATACTTATAATCCTAGCTACTCAGGGAGCTGAGATCTGAGCATTGAGGTTTGAAGCTAGGAAAGTCTGTGAGACTTTTATCTCCAATTAACCACCAAAAACCCAGAAGTTGATGATTTCCTAGGTTAAGTCAAAAAAGGGACATACCCACTTGAAATTCTTGCATTCTGGTAAAACTCAGGTGACATGCTGTGAGAAGCCCATGTCCCAACCAAGTTCAGCTTTGAATCATCATGGCCCAGATGTTAGACATATGAATAAAGAAGTTTTCAAGCCTAGGGAGGTAGCATAGTGATGAATGCTTGTCTAGCAAGCTTGCGGCTATGCTTGCAATCTCTAGCACGCCTCCTTGATACCTCTTCCTAAAAATCCTTCAGATGATCTTAGTATCTAACCATTTTGTTTTTTTTTGCTGGTGGTGTTTTTCACATCTAGCAATTCTGAACTTTGAAGAATTTGATAATCATTCATTCAAATGTTCTCAGCTGAGGCCTCGGATAATATAGTATAGTGACAAAGCATCCTAACTCACAGAATCTGAGAACCTAACAAGACCTATTTCTATAGTATTAGACTTGGAATAGATTATTACATAACTGTTGTAATTGAAGCATATATTTAAGTAATATCACAAAGATTAATTTTAGTTGCAAGGGCAAAACTTAAAGAAACATGACAAATAAAAAAGCAAGCAAACAACTAAACAAATCCAGGAGAATACTTGTAACAATTGACCTAGTCACTTTAAGAAATTTGTTAAGAAAGCAAACAACTAACTAATCATCTCCACTATTACCACCACTACCACTACTTAACAATTAGATGCAATATACTATCCTACATACATAACTGATCTGGACAAACAAGCTCTACAAGGTACTTCTGAGTCAATTAGAGAGTCTGAAGATGATCACACAGCAGTAACGTCACTATCTTTTGATAAAAATATATATATACATAAATATATGTATTGAAAGAGTTGGAAGAACTACACAAAATTTTCCTGATGGAGATTTCTGAGTGTCAAAATCTGATTTTTTACTTATTTAGTTTTTGGTGCCAGTCCTAAGGCTTGAACTCAGGGCCTGAGTGCTATCCCTGAGATGTTTTGTTCAAGGCTAGTACTCTACTACTTGAAGCATAGCT